ATTCAGCAGGGAGAGGGCACACTGGCCGGATTCAGCAGGGAGAGGGCGCACTACTGGGATTCATCAAGGAAAGAAGGCACATTGCCAGGATAAAGCAAAGACAGGGCACACTGCAGGGATTCAGCAGGGAGAGGGCACACTGCCGGGATTCAACAAGGATAGAGGGCACACTACTGAGATAAAGCAAAGACGGGGCAAACAGCCGGGACTCAGCAGGGAATGCGCACAGTCAGGATTCAGCAGGAAGAGTGCACATCACCCTGTCACATCACCTTGTCAACGGAAAGGGTAATTGATAAACTCCCTAACGAAGGCCAAAAGAGAAAACAAATCGTTAAAAAAACTGTACTAAGTTCATCAATGCAAGCTGCAGGTATACGCAATGTTAACAAAAGAAGGAGTTCATGCGGAAAGGACAATATGAGGATAGTAACCTGCGGTTATGATGGTGGCCTCCACGTTCCCAATACAAAGAACCCAACACCGCAACGGAGCATGCGCACAGCCCCCGGTCTCCCACACATCCTCTCTGGCGATTGGCTGTTCTCCCGTGTCAGTCAGGGCCTTACCCCATCTTCTGGCCCACCTCCCAATCTGATTGGTCATTCCTCCTTCCGGTGCAGAGGTTACGGGGTCGTGTCCTCCACCCCCCACACCCGATACATCCCCAAACGTCCCGTGCTTCTATTTCTATGGTGATGAGGCCAGGGAAGGCAGCCTAGAGTAACCACAGGATGGAGGGGCTCCGCTGGGCTTTCGGCTGTGGCTTTTGGCAGCCGACTCGTCACGAGTGGTTACTGGCGGCTCGCTGTGTGCAGGCCGAGGAGAGAGAGCGTATTGGCGCGTTTGTCTTTGCAAGAGACGCCAAGGCCGCCATGGTAACGAGCTGGGTGCAAGTGTGCGGGCAATGCCGACCCTGTTCCATAGGATGCTGGGCTGGGGGTGGTGAGATTCCTGTGGACATAGTGTGACTGGCTTAAGGGAAAGAGCTGAGAAAAACTGGCGTGGGAGCGTTTATAGAGTAACTGGTGTTCGAGCAGTACCTGCAGAGATGTGCAGCTACGTGCTGCTCATTGGTGATCATCAGCGCTTCAGCTAAAGGGGGATCCAGCTCAAAGGGGCAGGTAACACAGGAAGAAGCCCAGACTCGAGAATGGTCTTCAAAGCAATGACTCAGACATACGGGACGAACAACGTCCCGATATCAAACCACTGTCTCAGGATAGCAAAGGACAGCTGCCACAATTAGGGGATGGTTCTAGAAAGTCCAATATAATGTATTGGTTTCAGACCAATAGCCAACCTGCATGCCCTCCAGTAAGATCTGCCATTGAAATAGTTGCATGCTGGAAGTGATTGATGATTGATTTACAGTACATATGGACATCCAAATCAAGGACAAGAGTAGGTCACTCAGTCCTCCGAGCTTGATTTGTCATTCTGTAAGATCGTGGCTGTAAGATCATTACTCCCTTCCAAACCTGATAACCCTCCAACTCCCCTTTATCAAGAATAAATATTAAAAGATACTGCTTTTACTGTCTTCTGAGAAACAGATTTCCAAAGACTCATGATCTGATTGTGCCACAAGGGGAAACATCCTCCCCACATTCAATTTGTCAAGATCCCTGAGGATATATGTTTCAATTAGATCACCCCTTATTTTCATAAACTCAAGCAGATACAAACCTTGCTTGTCTAACCGTTCTTCCGAAGACAGACTATGCTTGTGTCCACTTGAATTTAGAAAAGTAAAAAATGACTTGCTTGAAACACGTTAGAGTCTGAGAGACTATGATAAGTAAATGTGAAGATGATGTTTTGGCTTTTGGGAGAATTAGTTTTGAAATTAGAGTTGCCCATTTAAGACAAATGTTTTCCTCACAGGAGCTGGTGAGTCTTTGGAATGCATTTTCTCAAAAGGCAATGGATGCAGAGTCTGAATATTTTTAAATATATAATTACATTCTTGATGAGCAAAAGGTGAAACGTTATCAAGGGTAAGCAAGAATTTGGAGTTCTCAGATCAGCCATGATCATATTGAATGGGAGGAATGATCGTATATGAATAGGCTCAAGCGACTAAGCTCTGAACTTGTATGTTCAAATATCATAAAACTTGGTTGTACTGTAACTTTCTAATGTTCTAATTCTAATTTAATGTTCTAATGCTGACGAAGGAATCCTCACCCAGCAGTCTCCAGATTTAAAATTAAAAAGCTATAATTTCATGTGAACTGCTTGAGCTCCTCCCTCCAACATCTTCACATCATTAATTTAGTTTCTTTTTGATTCTGCCCACAAAGGGTGGCCGTCTACTAATAAGGAAGTTAATTGCTGAAAAATTGAAGATTCCATGGAATGAAATACAGTTGCAAAGGACAACAAAAGGAAAGCCATTTCTGGCAAATCCAGTCTTTACCACAATCCCAAATTTTAATTTCAACATCTCTCATCATGGAGATTACACTGTTCTGGCAGCTGAACCTAATCTGCAGGTCGGTGTAGATGTTGTGAAGACTGATTTTCCAGGTAAGGAAAGTTGAAATTGTTCTCTAATGTAGAATTTAGGTTATTCTGGGTGTCACAATATATTTGCAGAACAAAACATTTTTCACATTCTTTGGCCCTTTAATAAATCCTCTGCAAGCAACAAACGTTCTGGGATAGCCATTTCTGTTTTATCATCGTCTTCGCTCATATAAGACACTCTTCTATCCGTCTATATCTTGTGCTGTATTTTTGGCCACCTTTGAGCTCCACTGTTAAATAGATTTGACTTTTGATCTGCATATAATATGGAAGAATAAATTTTAGATTTTATTCACATACACGCAGTCCTGTTTATCCGCTGAATAATGGAACGTTCTATTTGCCTGGACGAGTGCAGCTCTAAAAATACTCAAGAAGTGGGCAGCACAGTGGCTCACTGGTTAGCACTGCTGCCTCACAGTGCCAGGGACGTGGGTTTGATTCCACCCTCTGGTGACTGTGTGGAGTTTGCACGTTCTCTCTATGTCTGCGTGGATTTCCACTAGGTACTCTGGTTTCCGTCCACAGCCCAAGTTTGGGTAATTTAGCATGGCCAATCCACCTAAGTGTTCAGGGATGTATAAGTTAGGTGCATTAGCCAATGGAAATGCAGGGATAGAATAGAGGGATGGGCCTGGGTGGGATGCTGTTTGGAGGATCAGTATTGACTCATTGAGCTGAATGGCCTGTTTCTAAACTATGGAGATTCAATGGAAGCTTGACAGTATCCTGGACAAAGCAGCCAACTTGATCGGCACCACAACCACAAACATTCACTCTCCCCACCATTGATGGTCAACTGCAGTGTGTACCATCTATAAGATGCACTGCAGAAATTCACCAAAGTTCCTTAGCACCTTCTCAACAGCACAACTGCTGCAATCTAGAAGGAAAAGGGCTACAACTCTACAAGTTCCCTTCCAAGCCATTTGCCATCCTAATTGGGAAATACATTACTGTTCCTTCACTGTCACTGGGTCAAAATCCTGGAATTCCCTCCCTAAGGGCATTGTGGGTCTACCAACAGCGCATGGACTGCGGTGGTTCAAGAAGACAGCTCACCATCACTTTCTCAAGGGCAACTAGGGACCAGCAATAAATACTGGATGAACCAGTGATGCCATGTCCCATGAGTGAATAAAAAACAAGTATTTGATCCAGGCAATTTTTAAAGGATTAATGTTAGGCCAGACTTTACTGACAAAATAACATGCTATGCTTCTATCATTTACATAAACATAATTAACAAGTGCGGGACTGATGCGGGGTTAATTGCCGATATCCAAGGCTGTATTTTCCATTTGCCTCAAAACTGAATCTTGCTGTCTGTCTCACAATTGACTGTCATGCAGTTGCTGTATTTACATGTTAAACATAAAGTAAATCCACTGCAGATAGTTTGTGCTAGTAAGTGCAAGTGTAAATTCCCTTGTAACAATGTGATGAATATTAATATCTAATCTTTTTGACATTAAAAATTAACTATTGTATGTACAAGACTAACAGGTCATCTACATTTGTGATGCCAGAATGTCTTGTGCTCAAGCAACTGCACTTGGACATTCTAAATTGACCCACAGATAGAGAAAGCGAGCCTGTCAGAAAATTGGCCAAGCTAAATTAAACAGCAGCAGCAGCTATCAGCTACAAACAACAGTGAATACCGAGGTCACAGAAGTCACAAAAGTCTGAGGTAACCAGTTACAACCAGTCCAAGGTTTGTGTATTGGAGAAGTATCGATTAGACTTTCCAGCACCTTGACCTCCAGCCATTGCCTGAGTATACATACTTTACACCTCCCTGAAGTTGACAACAGTGAAGGGAGTTGGCTTGACTCCGTTGGATGCTTTAAACCCATTCATGGTCCCTTGGACCAAAGGCCACAGAACGTTCTGAAAGGTCTGGGGGAGGGGGCATAACATCTCACACACAAACAAAAACAGAAATTGCTGGTTTGGCAGCATCTATGGAGAGAAATCAGAGTTGACATTTCAGGTCCAGTGACCCATCTTCAGAACTGACAATAGCTAGGAGAAAGTGGTATATACACTAAAGATGAGGCAGGAGAGGGGAAAGGAGTAAGCAGTGGGTAGAGATAGAGACCCGAGAGAGAAAAATCAGTTGGATTGACAGAGGAATAGTTAAAGGTCAGTCTGGAGGAATGCATAGGTACTAATGGAGGCTATTAGTTGCTGACAATGGTTTCTGTGTGGTAGCAGCCCATGTGATGTCAAGAGCTGATGTGTGGGGTTAGGGTAAGGGCATGGCCTCAAAGACTAAAATTACTGAACCTGATATTAAGTCCAGAAGGCTGCAGACTTCCCAAGCAGAAAATGTGCTGTTCTTCCAGCTTACGCTGACCTTCGCTGTAGCTCTGCAGCAAACCTGAGATGGAGATGTTGGCCAGGGAACACTCTGTTGTGTTGAAGTGGCAGGCACCTGAAAGCTCAGGTCTTTTTTTTTGTGTACAGAACATAGGTGTTCTGTGAAGTGGTCACCTAGTCTGCGCTTCATTTCCCCAATTGTGAGCAGCGGATACAATTGACTAGATTGAGTGAAGTGCAGGTAAAGCGATGCTTCACCTGGAAGGTGAGTTTGGGGTCTTGGATGGTGAGGAGGGAGGAAGTAAATGGGCAGGTGTTACACCTTGTGCAATTGCATGGGAAGGTGCCATTAGGCTGTGGGGACACTTTGGGAGTGAAGGAGTGGACCAGTGTCCTGAAGGGAATGGTCCCTATGGAAGGCTGATAAGGAAGGGGAGGGAAAATATATGTCTGGTGGAGACATTCTGCTAGAAGTGGTGGAAATGGCAGCTAATGACCCTCTGGGAGTGGATGCTGGTGGGGTGATAAGTGAGAACAAGGGGAGCCTGCTGCTGTCGTGGGAGGGAAGAAAGTGGGTGAGGGCTGAAGTGCAGGAGATGGGTCGGACCTGGCTGAGGGCTGATTCCTGGTGCTGGGGAATCCTCAGTTGAGGCAGAAGGTGGAGATTTCAGAGGCCCCCTTGTTGAAGTTGGCATCGTCAGAATAAATGCGACGGAGACAGAGGAATTGGGTTAATGGAATAGAGTCTTTACAGAAAGCAGCGTGAGCATGTATAGTCAAGGTAACTGTGGGATTTGACTGGTTCGTAGTGGGTATTGGTGGCCAGCCCATCCCTAAGAAACAGAAACAGAAACAGAATGTCGAGGAAGGGAAAGAAAGGAGTCAGAAATTGGACTAGGTGAAGGTGCGAGCAGGGTGGAAATTGGAAACGAATCAATAAGCTTTCCAATTCTGAATGAGAGAGGGAAGCAGCGTCGATGATGTCATTGATATACAGGAGAAAGAGTTGTGGGTGGGAGCTGGAATAGGACTGCAACAAGGAATGTACCAAGTACCCCACAAAGAGACAGGCATAACTAGAGCCCATGCGAATACCTAGGGCCTACACCTTTGACCTGACGAAAGTGAGAGGAGTTAAAAGAGAAGTTGATCAGAGTGAGGATAAGCTCAGCCAGGTGGAAGAGTATGGTGGTGGATGGGAATGGTTTAGGCCTATTTTCCAAGAAGCAGCGGAGAGCCCTGAGACCATACGTAAAATCACACACCTGGAAGCCACCCCTCAGCAAAAACTCAAAACTAAACTCGTGGCAGAAGACCATGCAGCAGGAGAAAATCTGCCCTGACCTGCAAGGTTCACGTTCGTGAAAGGGAGCCAGCCCTGTGTCAGAGCAGAATGAGATTCCAACAGCCCACGTGAATCATTGTGGGTAATATCTTTTCTCAGATGGATAGAGCTAGGTAGAGAGTAAATATTGTGGGAATGTGGGAAATGCTCACATGGTGTTTATAATAAGGAAAGTTTTGTTAATAAGATCCAGTTGAAAGGCAATTCGAATTCTGTGTCCTTTTGTCTGTGTCACTGACGAGCACTTTGGTAAAGTAGTTTTAGTATATAAACTTGTCGAAGTGTTCAAAGCACAGACAACATTGGTGTCTCTTTGGCTCTTGGGTTGAAGTGTTTGTATAACCTCTAAGTTGAACCCCACCAACCTTGAACTCTTGGACATCCAGCCTGAACCTGAATTAGGAGGGCAGCTGTTCCCTGTAACAGCCAGGATTCAAGTGGATGAAAGAGGATGAAGATCTCTGACCAGTGATTTGGCCCTAATTCAAGTGCTTGTCATGTGAGGAGTACAAACTGCCAGGTCTGGGCGAAACGGTCTGGTACCCATGGAAAAGGAAATCTAGCATAGGCTAGTACAGGGTCAAGGACCTGCAGAAAAGAGGATACGAAACTGATTACAGAGTCAGAGGAGACACGCGGTGGTGAGAAGCCAGATACTGGAGTCAGGCACCCTTGAAGATGCAGAGAAGCTAGAGAGTCGAGGGACCCATGATGTAAGAGATAGTGAAAAGATTCAGGGAGTCACTGTTGCAGAGAAGCAAAAAGGCAGGTAATATAGGGTCAAAGGCCAACGAGAGAGAGAGAGAGCAAGTAAGCAGTAAGTTAAGGAAACATTAGGAGAAATGGCACAGTGCCCAGAGTCGAGTAAGTACTTAGAACTTAACTAAATGAGAAGTGGCCCAGATGGATTGACAGTTGTGAGCAAAATCAGTCCAGGAACAAAAACAGAAGTTGCTGGAAAAGCTCAGCAGGTCTGGCAGCATCTGTGAAGAAAAATCAGAGTTAAAAATCTTAGGAATGGTCTCTGGACCCGAAATGTTAACTCCAAAATTTTTTTTTCCACAGATGCTGCCAGACACGCTGAGCTTTCCAGCAACTTCTGTTTTTGTTCCTGATTTATGCAATCCAGAGTTCTTTCAGTTTTTAACTGGTCCAGGACCTAGGATAAAAATGCTGGGAGGTGGCATAGAAAGCTGAAGTGAAGCAGTTCCTAAACCTCGATAAGGCAATGGAGCAGCCAGAAGGTAGAGAATGGGAGAAGGTGAAGCTAAGTAAGGAGCTGGAGAAAATAAGAGTCAGAGCAGTAGGGAACGAGGCAAACATAGTACGCTTGGGACAGTTTCAGACCCTCAGTTATAGAGCGTACCAGGAGGTGCAGCATGTGGTCAACAATTGGGCCATAGCACGAAAGATTGTGGACGAGCTGGCTGAGAAGTGCAAACAATATGCAGGTTATGCTCAGAATCCTGCTCCAGACAGGCAAAGAAAACAGACCTCATGCTGCAGACTATTCGAAATGCCAGCCTGAGAATAAAGTCCCAACTTGCGGTGCAGAAGGGAATGATATGCACAATTGGGACGGTAGATTCTGATGGGCACACCGATTTATGGGATAGACTGAAAGGAAATGGAAGAACAAGCCTATTGATATGCCAAGAACAGCAAAGATCGGGAACCCCACCTCCCTTTCCAGAAGGAGTAGATCCTTTGGCTCCCCCAGCATCTTAACCTGCTTTGATGAAGCCACTGACCACAACCTGTCAGGATGGCCAGAACAATAATCAGTTACCCATACAACCTCGTTTACGGTGGGGGAGATGGCAAAAAAAATCCTGTGTTTGAGCCCTTTTGTATTTTGACAGCACCCATCAACAAAGGGTTCTCCATGGGCTTGACAATATTAAGGGCATTAAATTAATAGTGATGTGCCTGAGCCCCATGATCCATACTACCTTACTTAATCCTCAGCATGTGGGAGGAGGGGTGCTGCAGTCCATGAAAGCAGCAATCCGAACTCCTGTAAGGTACAATAACAGAGACCCTGTGGTGGGATTAAATAAGTGTAGGCAGTGAAAGGGAGAGCACACAACACCATTTGCTAGGCGGCCTTGACACAGGAATCTTTGGTAACCTAGATTGGACTGCACTGACACTACAAAATAGGGCAAATTGGACCCAAATGCTTGTCTCCTTTACCACTGAAGCAGTGAGGAAAGCCTGCAAAAGTTTTGATCCCACAGATAACATCCGCACAGAACAATGGGTGATCAAGAGGATGGGCTAGGTTTTGGAGAAAGTGATTTATAGCACTCTAAATCAGGCAAAGGAAAATTGCAGCTAGTCCAAGCCCCAAACCCAGTCCTGTATGCAGGAATGAAGGGGCAGCCGAAACAGAGTTATTATTAGAGCCATCCACCTTGGTCCCGAAGTGAGACATAGGGGTCAGCGGGGAGGTTCGATGCAGCAGCTACCACCACAAGAGAAATGCTACAAATGTGGGTGCACAGGCCACATCGCTAGGAACTGCAGGGTACTCAGGCAGTTAGTGCTACTAGAGGAGCCAGGTTCAAGACTCTGGTCCATGCCACTGGATAAGCAGCAGTCAGTTTGGTGGGGTTGATCATGCAGCCAAATTAAGTGGAGGAAATCCCATCTTCTGATTCCTTGCACCCCTGATTCAACAGTATGAAAATTCTTTTCAGCGGTGTAAGTGGACACCTGCAGAAGGGAACAGAGATAAATCCTTTCAAATTTAAACTGGGAGGCATAGTTTGCCGTCACCCAGCAGTGTTGGTTAATCTCCATAGAGACACCGAGCACATGCAGTTGTTGACTTGCCCGCCAATTTGGTAAGTTTGTTCACAAATATTTCATCACCATGCTAGCTGACATCATCAGTGCACCTCTGGTGAAGTGTCGGTGTTCTGTCTCGCTTGCTATTTATGTGTCTTGTTTGTTGGCGTGAGTGACACCACTTCCAGATTTGTTTCTTAGTGGTTGGTGTATGGGGTCCAGCTCTACATATTTGCTAATGGAGTTCTGGTTTGAGTGCTAGGCCTCCAGGCATTCTCGTGCGTGAGAAGAGTGTGTTTGCCAGTCACAAACCCAACTGCAGTAAAAAAGAGAGTGAGGTACTTTACTGATAGACGGACTGGACACAGAGCCACAAATACATTTTCCCAAGGCAGGCAGAGGGGGAAATGGCCAAGGTCATTAGTAGATTTTTGAAGCAAGGAATCCTATGCCCTCTAGCATCTGCCAATAATTTGCCAATAGGGCTGGTTAAGAAACTAGTTAGCTCTTGGCAGCTCACCATCAATTACAGGGACCTAAACTACCCCAATCATGGCACCAACAGTAGCAACTAACCCCAAAACCATGATGATGCAGGCTTCATGGGCAAAAATTAGTATTGGATATTGGTCTATCCCCCACCACTGACACTAGTAATAATAAAATTGCCTTCACATTTCAGGGCCAGCAATACACATGGGCCTGCTCGCCCCAGGGTTTTCACAGTTCTCTGCCAATATTTCATCAGAGGCTTGCTAAAGGACTAGAGAGGTTTTCCTGACTGGAATGCTTGGTACAGTATGTGGATGATCTCTTCCTGCAGACAGAGACAAGCACCAAACATCTGACATTGTTATGGGAACTGTTAACAATCCTCACCACCCTAGGACCAAAAGTTAACTCCAAGAAGGCAGAGATCATGAGGTCCCAGGTCTCATACTTGGGAACTGTGATAGCTCAGGGGGACCACAAAATAGAAGGGAAAAGCATCAAGGCCATAATCTGTTTGCCCCTCCAGGATGTGAAGTCATTGTCTTCCTTTCTGGGCTTAATGGGATACTGTAGGAATCACATCGATGGTTTCGCCATTAAAGCTGGCCCACTCTGTGGCATCCTTAAAAGAAATGCCCTATGGGAATGGAGTGAACAGCACATGGGCACTGTTGCCAAATTAAAACAGGTCCTAGTGCAGGCCCCAGCACTGCAGGTATCCGAACCAGAACTTCCCTTCGCCTTGGAAGTTGCAGCCACATATACCACACTGGCAGCCGCACTTCTGCAGGAACAGTGCAATAAACTCAGACCAGTTGCCTACATCTCCTGATTCTTTCACCAGTAGAGCAGGGCTCCTTTACGTGAGAGAAACATTCGCTACCATGTTCTGGACAATACAATATTTTGCCTATGTTTTCAGCTTGAACCCACAGTCCTAACTATTTTGATGGAGCACACACCCATTCAACTTTTGCTGGATGGCAAGATTAAAGATGGCGTGATCAGCCAAAATCAAAAACTGCACTGGACCCTAATATTACAGGGTCACAATATTACAGTCGAATGTACCAAAGTGCCCATCTTCCCAAGCAACAATTTGAGCTACGGAGGGGAACCCATTCAGTGTCAGATAGTGGCAACAAATGTCCCCAAGGGACTACTTATTTGTGCCAAGACAAAGATGGGGAAGACCAATGGAACCTGGGAAGCAGAAGAGAGACCCTGCAGAATGATATTTGTAGACGGATCCTCTATGATAAAGAATGGACACCGAAAGACAGGATGTGCTGCATCTTTGGAGAACCACACAGGTGAAACACGAATAGAGTTGGTGCTAAAGCTCCTCAACAAAGTGAGCACTCGGGCTGCTGAGCTAGCAGCTGTAGGCTACATTGTCAGCCACCCTGAAAAATCTCCCCACCAGCAGCTATACGCTCGGGCGTGTACTTCCCCCATCAGCAGATATACACTGAGACATCATGTATGTCTGCAACCATTTAACTGACTTCCTGCCACTGTGGGAAGCTAGAGGATTCGTCTTGACAGACACAAAACCATTACTGTTTGCACTCCTCAAATTTATTCTCCACGCTGCCCAAGGCTGCGAATGCATCATTAAGGTTAGAGCCAACACCAAACATCCCCTCTGGGAACATAAGGGAAGATGAATTGGCTGAGTAGGGTGCCCAGGAAGGAGCACCATAGCACACCCCAGAAGAAATAGACACCATTGCTGTAAGATAAATCAAGGTCAGAGATCTGTTACAGGTTTAGAGCAGTGATGCTGCGCTAAACCAAATACAGGAGGAAGCTAACCCTGCCTCGTATGTGGGAGGACAAGTACGAAGGACAAGCTTGTTCTCAAAGATGGATTGGACGTGGTACTAGTCCAGGACTGAAATCAAGTGATTTATTAATACCACGATGTTCAGGGTCATCGAGGGGTAGAAGCCAGGACTGGCAAAATCAGGGGATTGTGTTGGCCAAAAATGAGAAAAGTCATGAAGCATTATGTAAAAAATTGTATCATCTGCATTCAGACAAATGTGCCAATAAAGGAGCGTTAAGGTATTCTAGGCCAGTAGCAGGACCATGGACTGACCTTGAAATCGATTACGTAAGCCCACTACCACCCTGTTAAGAGGGATATGAGCAATATCCTGGTCATCATGGACATTATTAGCAAATGAGTAGAGGTGTTACCCATGCGAACACCGCAAAATTTGCAACAGGGATCTTAATTCAATACACTTTCACTAGATGGGGTCTTCCACACTACAGTGATTCAGACCAAGGAGCCCATTTCACAACTCATGTAATGCAGGCATTGACTATATTTGATATTAGCCAGGAGTTCCACATAAACCACCATCCTCGATCCAGCGGGATTGTAGAGAGGATGAATCGCACCCTCAAAGGGATGCTGCAAAAGATATTCCAGCAAAACAACTTGATGATGGAATGTAGTTTTATCCATAAGGAATTCACCATCCAGTTCAATTGAATTCACCCCCCACATTCTAATGAGCGTATGCTGTATGAGAAGTATCGAACCCTTAAGACTGGATCTGACGGAACCTGAGGTCAAAACCCTCTGCCATAGTAAACTATGAAAATTCTATTGGAAAATGTATAGGCTACACACAAAGCAGTGGCCATCAGAGTGGTGAGAAGGAAAAAGCAGAGCAGGGTGTACTTTGGTGAGAAAGTGAACTTGTGGAGTACAAGGTAGGGCAGCGGGTGATGTTACAAATTTTTCAGCCAGGAACATTCTTGTACCCCAGACATTCAGGTCCCCAATCAGTGCTGGACAAGGCCAACCCATCTGTGTACAGAACTTTGCAAGACATTGGAAAAATTGGGTGGTGCAATGTTGGTCAGTTAAAGGTCTATGAAGCAACAGCCATCAACTCCACATGATTCTAGGGGAACTGGTGGAAGCGGACCCTAACCAGACCTGATCCAGACCCATTCCAAATTCCCGATCCTGATACCCATCTAGGACCAGCCCCAGTTACTAATTCAGACCAGTATCCTGGACCCGTCCTGGACATTGTCCCTCCTGAGGCCCCAACCTAAGGAACTGAATCACAGCTGTCCCCACTAATTCTGGCCAGAAGAGGCAGGCTTCAGCAAGCAGCAGCTCTGAAGTGACATGAATGGTTAGAGACAGTCCAACCAAGAAAATGTCCTATGCGGCATTCTAGCCCAGAGACACAGATGACCCCTTTATGAAGGCAGTTATTCCAACACCATCGCCAAGATGTGGTGGAGGGGCATGTCCCTGGCAGCCAGAGCCCTCCCAATGAGGCAGGGGGGCCCAATGCTCATTCTCTCTCTCTCTCTCTCTTTCTCTCACAAACATGGACATACCTTCTATTACATTCCAACCCTAATGCTTTGCTCATCGCTACTATTGTAGCCCGAAGTTGTGCCATCTTCATTCTTTGGCCATTTGTCATTGTCTCATCTTCATCATATTCAAATCAAAGGCTAGTTTGTCTTTTGTTCATTTATCTCTTCATCTAAATTGTAATCATCTGAACCTCTGACAGTGTCAATGCACTGACCGCTTCTGAGCCCCATTTTGGATTAACAAATATTAAGCCTGAGGTGAGGCCTGACATAATTGCAATTGACTGACAAAAGTGGAATTGGTAGAATTTGATAAATTCAAATTTTGGGAGGAGCTGAGCGCAGGGCGAGGCCAGACAGAGTTAGAAAACAATCTCCGCAAGTGCACAAGGATTGGGAGGTATTTAGACTTGGTCAGATATTATACAAGGATAATAGCAGATGCCACCTTAATTCCCTCTCCAGGATGACAACACACAGCCTGTTGGACTACATCATCAGTTGGATTGCCAGGATGCGATCGTCAGGAGTGCTAATTGGGCAAAAGTACACATAGCTCTAAATAGTTTGGCCTACCAGAGACAGGCAAGTGTGGTGTTTTGTGTACAAAAACAGAAGTTGCTGGAAAAGCTCAGCAGGTCTGACAGCATCTGTGAAGAAAAAATCAGAGTTAACAGTTCGGGTCCGGTGACCCTTCCTCAGACCCTAAATGTTAACTCTGATTTTTTCTTCACAGACGCTGCCAGACCTTCTGAGCTTTTCCAGCAACTTCTGTTTTTGTCCCTGATTTACAGCATCTGCAGTTCCTTCTGTTTTTATGTGGTGTTTTGTGTATCCATCCCAACAAATCCATGATGTGTGGTGTAACAGCCAGCAGGTTCTGTATCGACAGACAAATGGGAGCTCAGATTATTGTTAGCTGAGCACAGACACCAGGATGACTGGTAGTTTTTTCTGTAAAATGTACAGAAATGGGATGTTTGGCTATCGGCCTGGAGAAAGGGCTAGAAATTAGGCACTGGTGCCCCGGGAGGGTCATAAGGGAAACTATATCCTGCACGAAACTAGAAATGGGCTAAAACTAGCCAGAAGTGCACCCCTAGGCATATGTTCAAGGACTACCCCAGGACCACAAAATGGGGTCGTTCTCAAATACACAGGCAAAGCCCTGTAGACAACATACACCACGAATTAGTACTGGTGATGTTAGATATAATCAGAACCCAGCTGCCCTTCCCAACTTCAGAAATCTTACCTGTATTTGAATCATTGGCTATTAAGTCGGAAAATAGGGATTGACGCAGAAGAGGCCAGATACAGGCCAGTGGAGCATGGTAAAAGGTATTGTTGAATGATTTGACAACAGCTTATCGAGCAGGAGTGTCCACAGTCAGTACCTTGTTTCGACTAATTTGTATAGTAAGTTCAGACTTTTAACCCAGCAAGTTAAACAGACTTTGGATAATAGTCTGGACAGTTAACAAGATGCCCGAAGGGGAATAAAAGAAAATCAGGCAGACCAACACCAAATAACAGTGCTAGGAGGGCATGGCAGGACCATAAAGAAGGCTGATGATGACAGTACCCAGCAGAATAGGACCCTGTGCAGCATCTATGGTCAGTGGATGATTGAACAGTTGGGGGAGAACCTAAGGCAGGCCAAGCCAGGACTGGTCCAGTGACCAGCAGATGGAGCACTTCTGTGGGAAGAGACACCCCAATATTTCAAATTGTGAGTTACGGCAGTTGATCATGGTTTGGATTGTAGGCAACCCCAGGAGTGGCTGTAGGGAATGGTTCCCGGGGATCCTGATCACAATGCCAAGTCAAAATGGGTTACAAATCTTCAAGGTGGAAAATGTTGGCATTATCTGAGAGGGAGTATTGTTAAGATATGACAGCACCCTTTTATACACTGCTGAGAAAGAGGGAAGGCTTGTAGGTACCACTCTGGATAAATGTCAGCAGACAAAAGAAGTAATAGTGTGCCCAAACCCGTTTATTCAAGTGAACGTTCCTCATGTGGTTTCCGGACACATGCTGTTCTAAATTGGACTGTAGAGATCCAGAACTTGAACTTGGACATCACCAGGGTAGTGTAAGGAGGAAGTTAGAATACTGCATCACAATGTCCCAGAACTCTAACATTTTGGGACCTTCACATGTAACATCCAAAACACCACCTTTTGTATTAGGTTAAACATACCAGCAGTGTAGGTGTAGTTGAGCTCACAGATATCTACAGGAACAGTGAGATCTTTGCTGATATCAGTGACAAACTCAGACACACTTTAGGGGATTATTGGGAGAAGTACGACACTGGCACTTAACTCCTACCAGAAAAATTACAGGAGGTCCGGACACAATTGGCAAATGCACATAAAACTTTTGTTACTATTAGTTAGCAGACAGAGCAAATTTAAAATGGTGTCAGGGAAAGCAAAAGCGTCTAATTGGTATGATCACTTCTGGGACTAAGGCTTAAATATGCAGATACCCCGTGGTTACATCTCCTATCATACTTGGCTGTGCCATTCATCCTGTTTACTTTGATCTACCTCACCTTTCTTATGGTTAAATTCATCTGCTGGGAGAAGGACCTCATCCAAAAGCAACAATGGATTCTATGCTCCTACAGCAGAAGCCAAGAAAATAACTAGCCCAGACTGTGTTGCAAAAGGATTATGTAAATTGTTGCGTGCTCTGAATTTTATTCTGTGGAGTGCTGCTAATCGCAAAAGAGGCTTGAGAGTGAGCCAGTGCATGTGAATAATAACTAATTTTCAATTTATGTATTGAATTATTTGTATATAGTACTATTAAACTTATTGATATGCGGAAGAAACATAGCGTATAGGGTATTGCTGTCTATGTACAATGGGGAACCCAGATATTCGGAGTTAGGCTATCTGTCTGGTACTTGATACATGCCTGCACGAGAGCATTGTCTGAGACTGTGATCCCAGTTTCGTGAGACGCTTCAGGGGATCAACAGGAGGGACTGTGGCCAAACGAGTATACCCTAAAATTGGACATTGTAAATTGACCCACAGCCAGAAAAATTGGGCCTGAGAGAAAACTAGCCAAACTAAATTAAACGGCAGCTATCTGCTACAGACAACAGTG